CTGCCAAATCTGATATCAAGTTCAATCGAAATTAAAGGTTTCGACAATCGTACCTGCATTAGCGAATATGTCCTATTCCTAAAAGAAAAAACTAATCGCTTGGGGAAAATCAAACTTTGAAACTTCGACCGTTTTTCGAAAATTTTTGACTTTTCATAAAATTATCCTTCCATTTCCAATATTAGTAGTTCAATTGAAATAACAAATTTTGCTGTATAAGTTGATACGCCCTTATTTGTTTAGAAAAAAGCTCTCTCCTTCGAAAAAGTTAGTTGGTTTATTTGTCTGAACCTTTTTGGAAACTCTTGTTTTTTTCCTCAAAAAGTTTCCTGCCAAATCTGAGATTGAAAGTTCAATCGAAGAAACAGGTGGCGAGAATTTTCGTGCGGAATTTTCGATTTCTTTTTGAATTAGCGTCTTCCGTTTTTTAATCGCAAGTGTCGAGAAGCTCAGCTTCGCCTCTCTGTTAAGAGTCAACGCACGTAGTTCAGACGCTCAAATAGGTCGTGGTGATTTTTTTTTCAGGAAAAGGCTCTTGTGGAGTTTAATTTGTTTTGCTGTTTCGAGGTTTCAGTTTTAATTATTGTAAGTTCAGTTAATTTTTTTTGTTAAAAGGACAGCAAACTTGCCAATCGAACAGCAAAACGTAAAGGTCACCATAACTGTGATCGTTTTCAAATTTTGAACATGGATTTTAGTTTTCAGAATTACCAGCGGAGTAAACATTTTATCTTTTGTTCGTTCTTGAGTTGAGTTAGTTTTTTATCAAACAAGTGCCAATCAGGTTGTTCTAGAAATAAGAAGAGCTTTAAGATCACATAGTATTTTTTAACATCGAAAAGTGAAATTTGTACAAAAGAGAGGTCAGTACTTTTTTGTCTGTTAACTTGCGTTCATTGAATCTTTTCCAACTGGCTGTCCTTTACACCTTCAAAGGTTTGCATTCAATGGCAATTTACTGAAAGTAGAATTTCGACAGCAGTTAGACTGCAGTGCTAACTGATAAGAAGACATAGGTTTTGAGAGTTTTCAAATATTTTTTAAATGCTCTAAATTGTTCTTTTCCGTATCGATGTTTGAATCTCCGCAAACAAACAGTCGTGTTTTCAAGTAAGCCATTCGAGCATTCATTTAAATTTACATCGATTTTGATAGACCTAGAACTTCTGATTATTTTAAGTAAATTCAATAAATTTTAAACTTTAAATTTCGAATTGAAAAGTTGACTTTAAAAGCTTTTTGATAATAGTCGATACACATAGTTCAGAGGCTTATATTGGTCGTGATGATTTTATTTCATCAGAAAAAGCATTAATGTTTGTTCGCCCTCTAATTTGATTTTTGGTTTCTTTTTAAATGTTCATTTTTTTGTTCAAAGGAAAACAAACTCCCCAATCGAACAGCAAAAGCGTTACGGTCACGAAAACTGTGATCGTTTTCTAGTTCGAACGTGGATTTTAGTTTTTAGATTTACCAGCGAATATAAATTTCGTCTGCTCGAATTATCTCAATTTGAGTTATTTTTATCACAAAAGTGCCAATCAGATTGTTCTAGAATTAAGAAGAGCTTTAATGTCATCTATTTTTTAAATTTCTTTTTAAGCTCAGTTTTTTTCCTGTTTTTAAAAGGAAGACGAACTCCACTGTCGAGCAGAAAAAGTGTAAAAATCACGAAAAAGTTGATCGACTTCTGGTTTCGAAAGTGGAATTTTACTTTGAGGTTTTCGAGCGAAAGAAATTTTTTCAGTGATCTTCTTAATTCTTAATGATCTTCTTAATTCAGTGGTCCCAATTGGGTGTATTTTATTTAAAAAAAGCTGAATTAAAAAGCTCTTAAGAGCAGCTGTTTTTTTCTTTGAAAATCAAACTATGAGATTTTTTCAAAAATAAAGTCAGTGTTTTTTTTGCTTACATGCGTTCGTTGATACTTTTCCAACTGTCTAATGGCTATGATTTATAATTTCAAACTTGCTGCTGCATTTAATCGCGAAAGTTTATGTTCCGCAACTTAGGTAATATGAAATCCTCTTTTTTTTAGACTTTGGCAATTTTGAGTCTTCGGCAATTTTTTTCACTTTTCGGTGAAGCTTAAATTTTTATCGTTAAGCTCTTGACTGATTTTCAAAAAATTGGCACCAATGAAAGACCGGTTGTCATATTGTATGTCTGCCTATTTCCATAGTCTTTGTTAACCTTACTCCACCTTCAAATGCCTTCGAAAGTTTAAAGTCTGGTATGTTTGACTCATTTTTCTGTATTTTTTTCTAAGAGTCTATCATGCTAAGTGTAAGATTAAGATTTCAATGACGAAAGAGCAAGTGAGATACTTGCTTTAATAGAAAAAGATTGTGGCCTCAAAAAAGGTCATTTTTGACAGTTTTGTCACTTGTTTGAAATTTTCCCCATTTCCTCTAAAACTACCCTCTCATATGTTAAAATAAGGATTCAGTCGAAAAAGCAGGTTTTGATAATATTCCTGGCGCAAGGGGCTTGGCTCCAATTTTGCACAGAATTAGTTCAGTTTTCGGTAAGATCAAATTTATTTGACTTTTTGATAGTTTTTTTTGTGGAACCTTTGATACTTTTACCGAAAATTACGCTGGCAAATCTGGCATCAATTTTAGTCGAGATTAAATCTTTCGACATTCGTACATGTTTTAGCGTATATATCATATTCTGGTTAGAAAAAACTAATAGGTTTGGGAAAATCAAATTTTTGAATCTTCGAACGTTTTTTCGGAAATTTATGACTTTTCATAAAATTACATTTTCCTTTTCAATATTAATTGTTCAATTGGAGTAACAGATGTTGGAAATTTTGACCGTAAAAGCTGGTACGCCCTTTTTATCTAGATAAAATCTCTGACGTTCTCAAAAACTACCCTGCCAAATATGAGATTGAGATTTCAGTCGAAAAAACAGGTGGCGAGAACATTCTAGCGGAATTTTTGATTTCTTTTCGAGCTAGCGTCTTCCGTTTTTGTATCGCAAGTGGCGAGAAGCTTAGTTTCGCCTCTGTGGTAAGAATCAATGCACGTAAATAGAATTTCGACATCAATTAGACTGCAGTGCTCACTGATAAGAAGACATAGGTTTTGAGAGTTTTTCAGATAAATTTTAGATGTTCTAAATTGTTCTTTTTTCCGAATCGATGTTTGAGTCTCCGCAAACAAACAGTCGTGTTTTCAAAGTAAGTGATTCGAGCATGCTTTAATTTTACAGCAAATTTGATAGACACAGAATTTTGATAATTTACAGGAAGCTCAATAAATTTTGAACTTTAAGTTTTAAATATAAAGACTGACTTCAAAAGCTTCTTGATAAGAGTCGAAACACGTAGTTCAGACGCTTATATTGGTCGCGATAATGTTTTTTTTTCAGAAAAGGTTTTAAGTTTTGTTCACACTCAAGTTAGATTTTTCGCTGTTTGACTTCTGATTTCTTTTTAAATTCTGCTTATTTTTTTCGTTAAAAGGAAATTAATTCCCCAATCGAACAGAAAAAGCGTAAAGGTCACAAAAACTGTGATCGTTTTCTAGTTCGAACTTTGGTTTTAGTTTTCAGATTTACCAGCGGAATGAAAATTTTATCTACTCCAATTTTCTCAATATGAGTTATTTTTTTATCACAAAAGTGCCAATCAGAATGTTTTGGAATTAAGAAGAGCTTTAAGGTCATCTATTTTTTTTCTTGGAAATTCGAAAAGTGATTTTTTTTATAAAAGACAAGTCAGTACGTTTTTCTGTTAACTTGAGTACATTGACTCTTTTCCGACTTGTTAACTGTTTTATACGTTCAAAGATTTGTTTTTGATTGCAAATTTTTCAAATTAGACTTTCAACAGCAATTAGAGTGCAGTGCTCAGAATAAATAGGATTTGAGAGTTTTCAGATAGTTTTTAGATGCTCTAAATTGTTCTTTTCCAAATCGATGTTTGAATCTCGGAAAATTAAAAGTCTCGTGATTCAACGGAAGCGATTTGGACATGCAGCTAAGTTTACATGAAATCCGATAAATAATGAACTTCAAAAAAATTGAAGTGAATTTGATAAATATCGAACTTAAAATGTTGAATGGGTGGGTGGGTTAACTTAAAAAGCTTTTTGTAAAGAGTCGATGCACGTAGTTCAGACTCTTATATTGGTCGTGATGAGTTTTCGGTTAAGGTTAGTTCATTCTTTTGTTAATTTGAAGGCAACTCCACTATCGAGCAATAGAAGTGTAAGGGTCATGAAAACATAATCGACTTCTAGTTTCGAAAGTGGATTTGAGTTTTCAGATTTCCCAGCGTATAGAAATTTTGATTATTGATCCAGTTTTCTCAAAAATTGCCTACTATAAATTGTTCTAGAATATCACAGATTTTTTGGGGATATATTTTTTTGTTTTCTTGCGTTTACTTTTTCTGTCTTTTCCAACTGTCTGTTGGCTATGTTTAGCTTTCGCAAATTCAAGACCGATAGTTTTTGCTGCTTTGACCAAACAGGACATACCACTTTCATCAGGATTAAAAGCAGCTAGTGTTCGCAGCGAACTAAATGCAGCTCCAATACGCTTGATGGTTTTGTATAAACGCTATATACCAGTTGTTTGATCGGTTAACGTCTCTTAAATGGATTTCCTTTTGTGAAAACCCTCTAATCTTATTAGAAAATGTCTGTGTTCGGTGAAAAGTGTCAAGTAATTATACTGTTCATTGTTTTTCTTTTGTTAACAAAGAAGTAAGGAAAGTTCAGCATCCTTTTTTCACATTGATTTATTTCATCAATTATTTAAAGATTTTATTCAGTTTTTATGGATAATTTGCGCTATTTTCGTTCATTGAGTCAATGGTTATTGCGCAAATCATCTTCCTCTACAATTTCAAAAATGGTACTAGTTTGAAATAACCAGCCAAATAGCTAATTGAGCCAGTTTTCCAGCAGTAAATGAGTTATATGGGTGTTAAAATCATTTCTGAAACAATGCACACTTAGCAAGGCTCGGTCGGTTTTGTTTAGGTCGTTTTCGGATGCTCGTTTCACAGCAACAAACACGAAGCGATCAAATCAATCGGGCACTCCGAAGAACAGTTTCGCGTTCAAAAATCAGCGTCAAATGAGCGAGGCTGCCTCTTTGTTTCTGGAAAGCGAGACGAATCAACAAGCGCTCAGTTCGTGGGATGACGCCACAGACCTCGTACACATCTCACTCGAGACGACTTCGGTAGACAAAGCACAAAGGACTTTCACTGTTGCCGATACGCCACGCGAGACAATCAGCTCGGAATGTGACCTTGAACATACATGATAATACATATTGATTAAGTGTGGAAAAATGACGCAAAATGGCGAAATTCAAGCTGAATTTTTGTACATCTTTTTTGATCTCACATGCGATCAGTTGGTGTTATTCAAACCGGATACTACTTTTTTAAATAACTTGTTTTGCTATAACCAAACGGCAAATAACTTGTTTTGCTAGATGACTTAGTGAGTTTTTTTTTGCAGTTAACGATTAGTGTTTTCACCTCCTACCAGATAGAATTTTAGCTAAATTTTCAAGAATTTCTACTTATTTGACAAGTTAAAAGTTTTTTCGGCTTCAGCTCGCGAGTAATTTTGTCGAATTTTGTCAGGCTTGCTACATTTGACACAGCTTATTTCTTTTTCTTTAGTTGTTTGTCTTTCTCTGTATCGCAAGTGATTTGAAGCTCAGCTTCGTCTATGTGTGTAAATGTGCTTGTGATAAGTGCAGTTTTTAACCAGCTCTGTCAGTTATCAAATTTGAGCGCCCATTTTTGGCTTTTTGAGATACGATTCAGTTTTTCCAAATCTGAGGTACTTTTTCGACGACGTGTAAGTAATTCATTTAATATCAGCTCTACGACCTCCCAGATTGACATAAAGTGCTTGTCATACAAATTTCGTACATGGAAAAATGCTTGTCGTACAATTCCGAAGCATGGAATAATTGTACTAAACTAGCACGATAAGCCTTTTTTCCATTAATCAAATTGTGAGTAGCATTTTTTCCAATTATGGAATTGTATGACTAGTTTTATCCATCATTGGAATTGTGTGACTATCATTTTTCCCAAGACCGTGCATCTTTGATATCTTTGAAAAATCTTAAAGAAAATCTTGGCATGTTTTTGCCAGAGCAATTGGAAGAAATCATAGATTCTTGAAGAAAAAAACCAAGATAGAAAATGTTTTTTTTTTAAGTTTTTGACGATTTGAGAAATAGATGTGCGAATTCACTAATGATTTACCCAAAAATTTTGAAATATTGTCGGCCTTTTTAATGAAGATTAATCTAAAATTTCAGAAAAAAGAGCAAAAGAAAAAGAGCCCCAATTTGATCAAATGCCTCCTAATCACTAAATAAAATCTAGCGACGCAAAAACTTGCAACTGAGCTGACATAGGTTCAGTCAAAACCTTTCAAGTCGAAAAAAGTATTTCGAGAGAAAAAATACAAAAGGGAACAATTAAACCTTTACATCAACGTAAACTCGATTTTTCAAGTAACGGAAATTGAAAACGCTGACCTACCACATTTTTGACAGAAGAACTTGTTTGTCAGAACAAAGCGCTTATTCTTAACAAAAACTACCTTATTAAATTCAAAATAACCTGTAAACTTTTTTATTTCGATGGAAAAAATGCTTATTACAGAATATTCGTAATTAGAAAGTGTATGTTAAGCTTTTTTGCTCGTTTTTTTTCTTGTTTTTGCATATATACATAGATGCATAATAAACTACATACATACATACACACAGGCGCGGATCTAGGAATCTCGAAGGGTGCAGATTTAAAAAAAAAACTTTTTTAAGTCAACCAAATTGAATTTCTGAGCTTTGTAGAAAAACAGGCCGATATAGGCATTTTTATGCACTTTTTGGAAAATTTCGACCGAAAAATTGCGTTTTTTCGACGCGCTCCCCCTCAAAATTAGTATAGATTGGCGCACAAGGCGCCTTTAGAAAAATGATAATTTTTAACATCAGTCAGCCAAAAATGGATATCTCAAAATAGTACAAAGGGGGGACCATTTGGGTCGCCAGGGGGGTTAAATCCCTGAGGGGGGGGGGGGGGGGGGTGGGGTTGAATGCCCCCTCAACCCGCTACTGCATACACATACATACATACAGACATACATAAGCATTTTTGCTCGTTTTTTCAGAAAAAGCTTAATTGTAACAAAACGACCTTATTAGGTTCAAAATACCCTGAAAATTTTTCTAGGACTCTTTTGAAAATTTTAATTTCGATGGAAAAAAGCTATTGGTAAGTTTAGATGAGCTTATTTAGCTAGTTTTTTTTGCCAGAAAAAGTTCATTTCTGACAAAAGTTGTAACATGAGCATTTTTTCCATAGACTCCATGACTGGAGCTGTATGATAAGCATTTTTAGTCAGGCAAAGGAGGTTAACCCGGGCTGTGTAATACACGGATAAATTTTACTTAATGACAAGTTTGGAGTCCCTGTGCAACTAAGCGCACACTTCTTCGTTTTGCTATTAAACCAGGTAATAATTTTTGAGAGGACTTCGCATTTGCTCGCTGGGCGCCAAATCTCCAAAATCTGAAGCGCATTTGAAACTCGTTTTTCAAATACAGTGCTGATTTAAATTATCCGGACGAAATCAACAAAACTTGAATTTTCAAACACGTTTTTCTCAACGTAAGTTAAGATTGGACAAAAAGTAAAGAGAACAAAAGTTGCTTAGAATTTCATCCGAATTAATATGGTGCAATTTTTTCTCCGAAATTCACAACCAAAATTTTAACCCAAAAATTTTGAACCATTCTTGGGGCAAAATTTTGGTTGAGAATTTCGAAGAAGAAATTGCACCGTAATAATTTGGATGAAATTCTAAGCAACTTTTGCTCGGTTTGTCCAATCACTTAACTTCACTTTTTGTCCAATCTTAACCCAAATGGAGAAAAACGCGTTTGAAAATTCAACTTTCGTTCGTTTTGTTCGGAGAAATTTAAATCAGCACTATAATTTTGCTGAAATTAACACAAGTTTCTAATTTGTTCAGCGAAGTTGAGTTGAATGTGTTATCGCAGCACTTACGATTTTAATTGAGTTAAATGTTATCACTAAGAGTTCGCTTTATAATTTGGCCGATGTGAACTTATTTCAAACCTTCAGTTCAGAATACTCGGATTTTTAAGGCAAATAGTGTGATTTGATGTAAATTTATGTTGAATTTGAACATGCATAAATATACTTGTTTTTGCATTTCGATTTTTTCATCTTTCTGCATATAAATGTTGCGAATTTTTCGAATTGGTTCAGGTTTTTGTCTTTGCAAGTAGTATTCAGTTTGGCATTAACAGCAATTTAAAAAATGTCGTTGCTCCTCTTTTGCCGATACTGATATTCTTTGCTGAGAAATGTTCTCAGATATTTTATATGAGTCATACAAATGCCCAATACCCCACGACAATATATCCCAAGAATACCGCGACAAGTATCTTCTTAGTTTTACGCTTGTTGGGAGTGACGGTTTTGAATTGGGATGTTTGGAATGCGGGATATTTTGTCAATGTGGGATAAAGTGTTAATGAACGAATTGATTTATCGCTTATTTAGGTCGTGTGCAATATTTTTTTTGGAAACGTTCAAAAATTGGTGCGAGCCAACTTCCCATTGAATCAAATTAAGAAGATCATCGCTCACTTGGTTACTAGTATTTTTTAACCAATCTCAATTTAGTTTTTTGCTTGAAGTTTATTTAAATTTGCCATTAAATTGGGGGGAGGGGGGAGAAGGTGTGGTGATCTTTCTTTCTTTTGGTTAGTTTAGGAGTGAAATTTTGTTCACATGGGCCAAAGTTTGTTCAGCTTTTTTTAAATTTATTTGGGCGATTTTCTTGAGCTCATTAGCGCTTTACCAACTATTATGGCTAAATTTTTATTATATTTACATTTATGTTGCTGCATTTAAATGGCCAATGTTCGAAGACTGAGTTCTGAAAAGCTTAGTGTTAATCATCAGATCCTGTAGATGTGATTTTATTTGAATTAATTTGATACAAAAGATCAGCTTGTCTCTGTTATGTAGATTAGATTACTACTAATTTTATACTTCCCTATTTGGTATTTGATAAATGAATTGAAGTTTGTTCAAAAAGTGCTGATCAATTTTTGATGACATTGTTCATTCAACCGTGAGTAATTCGTCTTTTTTTCGCTTCCTGTCCGTTGATTGTTAAGCCATCGGTGTGAGAAATTTTTTAGAATTAGGAAATTGCCTGTAAATTTTGGCCGAAAGTCATTTCCGTTAAAATAGTTTTTTTTCATCAGGAATTGAAGTTTTGTAGTTGCCTCAAAATAAGCCGACCCCTCGCCTTATTTAATTGGTAGAGCGAAAGATTTTTGCCTTAATGTATTTTTCATCTCTGAAATGTTTTCTGCTTTCAAGTCATCTCTTGCTTACAAAAACCGGAAGTAGTCAACTGCTCATGAAGTGAGAGCTCTGTAAAGCTTAGCTCTCAACTGGTCATTTAGTTTTCGAAAAGGTATAAATTTGCAAGAATCTGAAGTGAAAATATGCCAAATAAACGGATCAGAATTAAGAGACTCAAGAAAGGTTATTGTGTAAGAGATAATCTAAAGCTAGTAAGAGATATTGAAAATGTTTCTAGATCTGCGACAAAACAAAGAAACATGAAATTTTTAGACGAAGGATGAATCTATGTTTTATTGAAAATATTTTGTTTAATTAATTATAATTTCAAATATCATATAATGTTTTGAAAGCCAGATTCCAAAAGATTTATTCGACTAATTTTTCGTACACCGCCAAAAAATACTTTTTTGCTATTAATTGACAATCATCTTAATAATCATTGGATAAAATGTCTAAATAGATTTGGCTAGTTTTTCAAAAAGATGACTTACTTCTTTTTTTCTTTCAACATCTTGTAATGCAATGTTTTTATTGTTTCGCAAGTGTTGCGAAGCTCCGCTTCGCCTGTGTTAGAGTTGAAAAGCAGCTTCTAATCTGTGAAAAACACAAATTTTGGGTACAATAAAATGATATTTTGCTAGTGTTTCAGATCTTTTTTTACCCTTTTAGTCACTATTGTGATGTGTATTAGGCTAACGAGTTGCAATGCAAATTTTTAAACAATTGCTTCAAAAAATTTTTGACTAGATATTGGTTAGTTTTGACGTGAAATGAGAATTAAAGCATCTCTGAACAGGAAAGCCAAAGTAATTATCTGAGATTATCTGCATGAGATTTCTATCTTGCTGAAAGTTTTTGTTTCTTCGTTGTGTTCATGATCTTCAATTATCTTCCTCAGTTGTTTGCCATGATGGTGGTTGAGCTATCATGAGCAGCTGAGTAGTAGTTTAAAAATTTGCGTAGAAACTAACGGGTTGCTTTTATTTCTAAGTATCAGTGAACGAAATGACTACACATTTTAGGTCGTGTAGGTTCTTTTCAGGAAAAGCTCGACAATTTGATTTTTTTTTCGGCTTCACTTTTGAGTTCGTTTTTAGTTAGTTTGATAATTATTTGCTCATAGGAAAATAAGTTAGACTTCCGATTACGAATTTGTAAGACTTTTTAAAAAGAATAAAATTTAATGTTTTTTTTTTTCAAAATTTTTAAAGTGAATTTTTTTTGAATCGTTTTAATTTGCCTGTATTTAAGGTACTAAAGTTGAGGTAACATTAAAAACAGCCAAAAGAGACAAAATAAATTTTGTTTTTTTTTCAATCTTTTTCAATTGTCTGTCTTAATGTTTCTCAAGTTTGAGCTAAAATCGAAAACAGTAAATAGAGAAATAGTAAATTTGAGAAAAACTATGTTATCTTGAAATCTAAAACTATTTGAAGGCCATATTTCAGCTTAAGGTTCCAGCATGAACCTTAATTGCTAGTCAATATATTCAATCCTTCAATATATGTCATAATAAATTAGCACTTTTACGATTAAAAATTGTATTATAGAAGGCCATTGCAAAACAGGCTTTAAATCATCTTTTCCATTTTGTTTTATTAAATTTTGCTACTTGACAAAAAAGTCTAATCCAATAAAGTTACTGACAAACGGGTGCGTAATGCATGTGAGTCTGCTAGAGAATAACTGGTTTGTTCAAAACCGGATTATCCAAAACCCAATGTTTTCAGTGTGCTCGTTGCAACAATTGATATATAATGCAGCTGCTCAAATAGAAGCAAGACTGCTCTTATCAGGGCGAAGCCCTGAAAGTTCCGACTGCCTTTTAAAGTCTGTGGAGCAGTAATAACATGAAAAAATTAAAATTAATACAAAAACGATTTTTTAATTTGAGATAGATTTTTTTGAAAATCATTCCACCTCACGTAATATAAGGTACAAAGTTATTGGGTTAATTGTCCCAAATTGGCCAAAATGGCTATCTTTAAACCCCCATAACCCTGCCAAAAATGATTGCAGGTAAAATATTTTTTCAAATTCAACTTAAAATAACAATACTTTTTGAATGATATAAAAAAGTTCCGTCAAAAATGAGTAGTTAAGAAGTCGAAATTCAAAATAAAAAACACCCCGAGCACAAATATTCCGTTACTTTCGTTACGTAATTCGGAACAACAATAAAGGAAATCCGCCATTTTTTTTCAGAATCCGATCAAAGCTGGGGCAAGCTAAAATGGAAAGTCTGCGTGCCACCAAATAATTGAAATTCAAATTAAAGTCAGAAAATAAAAGCGTTAATATCACTGTCTAAAATGGAAAACAATAGTTTCCTATTAACACTGTTCTTTTTCTACAAGTGTTACTAAAAACCGGTCTTGTTTTGTTCTTTTTTTTGTCAGCAGACAATATAGCCTATTTCAATCTACCTTATGCCTTTTCTCTGTCGAGTAAAGCTAATAGAACAAATACGGTGGCTTTAAAAAGTTCCATTCGACGTACCAAAATAATCGAATCTGTAAAATATGTAATTTTGTAATTTCAAAATTATAATCGCTGCAAACCTGTTGAGCCTGAGTCTAGTTGCTATCGGGTGAGTCTAGTTGCGTGAAAAGGTCATCGATGATTGGCAAAACTGCAGAATTCTTCTAGATTGCTGCTAGCTTCTTGATTGCCTAAAATATATCATAGCGGATAATCAGGGAGCGGAGAAAGAAATACCATTTTAAAAAATTGTTTTTTTTTTATAAATTAGGTTAAAAAAGTATGCCAAAACCTTTTATTTTTTTGTTATTTTGCCCTAAAAACAGCAACTTTTTTTAAAAATGAATAATAAACAGTATCATAAAACATCTGCCAAATCTCGTTCATGCGCGGATAAAGTCCTCAAATTTTGAAATATTTCTGCATTTCGATGCAAAAACTGCGTAATTGTCTGGCAATACATCTGAAAAACGTGCAAAATTGATGGTTTATGCGTTTATAAGGCCAAAAAATTTTCAGTACTTCCGAACGAAAATTTGCATTTTTTTTGCTCCTTGGTGACAATGATCGCTTGTTGTTCGTTCATGGATGAGAACTATAGATTGTCATTTTTAAAAACTTCCCTTTATTGTTTCGACCATTGAAAATGGCGAGGAACTTTGTATTCGGGTGTTGTAGTTTTTTTCTTTCTCCACACAAAGTCATGGACCATAAATAATCATTAGACTGGGTTGAGTGATGTATCATATTAAGCGCTTTCAGCCGTGATGCGGACAGCATTGAAAAATGTATCGATTTTTGAGAAAAATTGGTTTAAAGTTTTTGGTTTGTCCGTTTTCGAGCCAATAATGCGCGCGAGCAGTCTTACTTTAATTGCTTTAAAGCTTACAATAGCTGAATTGAAAACGTAAAAAGTTAGTTTTACTCGAGAAACCTTAGTTTACTTTGAGTATTTTAGCGCCTTTTTGTAATCAAAGTTTTCAAAACGTCAAAAAACTGCAAAAAAAAACTTGAAAAAATAACGAACATTTTTTTTGTAAGTTTATTCGTGTTTTTTTTTGTCATTTTTCTGCAAAACTTGTTTTTACATTGCTTATTTTAATATCGCTGTCGATTATACTTAAATCTAGTTTTTTGTACAGCTCCTTTTATCACACCACGCCGAAAAAACGACACTAATTTGAAAAAAAAACTGTGTTTTTTAAAGACTATGGTCGGAACATTTTGTGCCACCGGCTATCCATGTTTCTTTTTGATTTTTGTTCACTTCAAACTTGTATTCAACTTTAGCTTTTTCATTTTAATCGACAGCTTTTTCTGTTACTGTTTGCTCTACTCGCTCCAAGTTGGATTAAGAAGCAAAAATTTTTATGCGCTTTTTCTCGACAAAACTTTTTTGATTTAATTTTGTTTTTCCAATCGAGTCATGACTGAAGGGGCTTGAACTCTGTTATCGCTCGACTCCATCTGAAGTTTATTTTTGATACCTTATTTTGCGTGGAAATAAATTCCGAAATTAACCAAAAAAAATTGAACGAGAAAAGATTTCACGTTTTTATTTGGCTATTTTACACATGCGAGCTAGCGAGCGTAGTGTTAAATTACGAATCGACTTTTTTCTAACCCAACTCGTTTTCTGAATAGTATTGGTAAATTAGTAGGTTTTGTTCCTTCTGCTTTAGTGGCCGCTAGTTTTTTGATACTTTGAATCTCCAGGTTGGCTGTTCGACTTCAGAACATGGCAAAAGTTTAATTTCAAGGTTTATTTTAATCTTTATTTTCCGTGTTTTAATTTTTTTTGCCATTTTCGACTACCTTTTGCTGTTTTCTTCCTTGTATTGGCGAAATACAGCCTCGCCTCTGCATAAATTACTTTTTGGATTAGAGCTAAGATGAGAAGTTAATATGGAATTTTCAGTTTGCTCATGGAATCAGCTGGCAGCTCTGGCGCTGTCTCGGGCGGTCGACTTCGGAAGTCACGCAGACCTAGTTGTCCCCGAAGACCAGTGCGGCTCTGGTATCCTCTGCACCCACTAATTCACTCACGAACTTACCCTGTTAATCATCGCCAAAATGAGATAGCGCCTAGAACTGGGTATCGAGTACCGGCCGGGTTTCTCAACAACTACGAGAAAATATCCTCAACTGCTTGTTTACTGAATCGTTCACCAATTAAAAGGTTACAAGCTTCTATAAGAAGATATTATCTAGCTGAGGTAGTTTTGTTAAACTACCCAAACTTGACATTTCTGCTTTTATCAAAGTTTAATCGTAATGGGGGCTTCAGTCTGCTTTTCTTTGAAATCAGTTAGAATCAAAAGATAAATTTTCCGTGATTAACGTTTTGTAGATTCGAGGTATATAACAACAAATAACTACCAGCTGTTTAAAAAGTGAAGGACCATTGATTTCATTTCAGAAAGAGATAACAGTGGGAAATCTCTCATTTTTCTTTCTAAGAGTCATTGAGTTTGAAAATAATGTGTCGAGTCATTCTTCTTCTTTTGAGTTTTCAATTACGTTATTTGCCATGTTTTGTATCCAACTTCATGTTTCAATCAAAAGTAACAAAGTGCGCACGTTTAGAAATGAAAAGCCACGAATGACTCGAGCAATCAACATTAAGAAATGTTAAGTTCATTAACAGAGTTCAAGTTAAAAATGGATGACGCAAGTTGGTCTGCGTTTTTTTAAACCGTCAACGCGCAATTTGCTGATCAAGCAGCACAATGTTCCGTCCGATCACAGTATTTCAATTATATCGGAAACAGCGAAAAATTTATTTAAAGATAATCGAAAAAAGAAAGAACTTTATAATACCACTTTTGATACGCAACGAGCCTTTGTCGAGGTACTTGAACTTGGACAAAAAAGCGAACCTGCTGTATAGTTCCCTCCAGTCATTTCGTTGCGTGGTCGGAATAAAATCAGGCTTAGGATTGTCTAGAGCGATGCCTTGCCTCAATGTTTGAGATTTTTCTGTTTAGGAAATTAGATTTGGCAATGATAGCAGAGGAGCCGAATGAGGCGGAGAAAGAAAAAAACGACAAAAATGAGCGACAGAAAACTCCTCCGAGTGATGTTCCTCCGCGAATGGATAAATATGACAGATTGAATTCTTCGTCCACTTTAAAGCAGTGTTTCTTTCCCTGGCCCAAACAACTAGACCAAGTATCTCTTTTGAAGCCCGTGTCTTTTGTGTTTGTTCACGTTGATGAAAATGTGGCGACTGCTATTATGAGAATTGGCCCCGAATGTGAAAAGGGTAGCACGGTATCTTTCATATTAGTTCGATCTTTGTACAATTCAGCTCTTTCTCATTTATACAACCCCTCCCCCAGTCTGTTAACAAAAACATCGTCCTCAGTCACGTTAATTTTACAATTTGGGAGGACAACATTTTGCGGTGGTGGTTATTTTTCAGATTTCCCAGCAAAATTTTCCCATGGATTCAGTTTTCTCAAATTTGGTTAATTTTATCGAAAAGGGTTTATAAAAAATTGTTTTAGAAAATCAAAGAGCTATAAGGAAGCCATCTATATTTCTCTTTGAAATTCGAAAGTTCAGATTTTTTCAAAAAACAAGTCAGTATTTTTTTCTGTTTACTTGCGTTCATTGGCTCTTTTCCAGCTGTCTGTTGGCAATGTTTTTGAGATATAAAATAATTTGAAGCTTTTTATCAAGACTATTTTTATAGAGCTCTGCGGAAAACTTTCAAATTGCCTCTCCGTCAAATTTTTCGACTTTTTTCAGCTCCCTCCATTTGCTTTTTGCTGAAATCGTTTTTCCTAAAGACTTTTCATTATGATTTTTGATGTTATCACTCTAAAAAAATCAGCGTGAGTGTTTTGAATATTTTTTCTACATGCCAAGTGCTCTAAACTATTTAAAGATAATTTTGTTTTTCTATGAAGGGATAGAAAACAATAAAATAGCCAGATATTTAGATGAGTTAAAAAGTCTATATCCGCGTCTGATTCCAGTGCCAGCACGTTTTAGGTTTTTTGCGCTTGTTTTGCCATTCATTTGAGGTGCTCGTGTGCGACTGAGACTAAAACATAATGCCCTTGTAGGAACTGTCTTCGGTTGATGCTCAAATGAAGATGATTTGTACGTTGCTCAATGGAAAGTGCCTTCTCACAATTGGAAGCAAACTCGTGCTGGTTGAAAAAGGAACTCAATTTGTAATTGGGCCTAGGCAAATTTATGCTATCAGAAACATTACTATGAAGAGAATTGATTTCAATGTAACAGTGCTAAAACTAATTTGAGAATTTGAATAGTAGGTTAAATTCAAATGAATAAAATGCCAATGAAAATGTACAAATTGATCTGAAATTGTTGAATTAATTATTGAGTTTTTTAAAATAAATTGTTGCTTGCAATTTGAAATTTGACTTATATTTTCTTCGTTGAGTTAGGTGCTACGCTTTTTAGGAAATTGCACTTCGACTTTTTGGAGAGCTGTGTGATTAAGTTTTTGAAGAAAATTGTTATGAAAATAAATGATTATGGTTACTTTCAATTTATAACCGTCAAAATGGTTTAATCTTTTGTTTTTGAATCCGGCAATCGGATAATCTTGTGTAAACATTTTTTTGTTCCTATAAAGATTTCCAATTTTCTCCTGAAAATTTTTCATTTTTTTGTGTTTGTCTGAAGTTCCCCTTCTATTACTTTTCTACCACTGCCGTTTCAGGCTGATCTGCCGTAACAAAACTGTAAGGCGCGTTTGTCGCCAATATATGCTAATGTTGAGCAGCAACCTGCCAAAAGTGCTTGAAAACAGTATTCTCCGAATAAATTACATGCTGGTCTCAAAATTTACCTAAAAATTATTACTTTGGGGTTTCGGAAGTGCTCGAAAAAAAGGCAAGAAAAACAGTTACCGTTCAAAACACTTCAGCGCACGCCACTAAGTGAAAGTGCGATAAGAAATCACGCATTCGTTTTGTGATAAGATGAGTAACTATGAAGTCGCTGGCAATAAGCCTGAGTCCTAAAATCTATGCAGTTGTCTTGTCAAAAGCCCTTTTTATTTTAATCGTATTTTGTTATTTTTTCAAATTTTCATTAATCTTTTTTGTTGGCAGGCTACCAAAGAGAGCTTGCGAGCGTAGTTTGGCACCGCTAGGCAAATTTTCCCCCCACTTTTTTTAATTACAATTCACACATTCTTGTGCAAAGTCTATGCGTTCAATAAACAGCATGTGCTTGCTATGTCTGCATAAAATGAAGGAATGCGTGAAATTAGACGAAGCCAAAAATCTATTAAGCTTTGCAAACTCGATAAAGTTGAAACTGCTAAAGTCAAAGTTTCTAATTCAAACTAATTCAAAGTTTGTAATTCAAACTTCGAAAGTTCGTGCTGCTAAAAAATAAAAAATTTTCGATGCTTCTGAAAATGTCAAAGTTGGTCGAAGTAAAAAACTAAGTCAAGGAATGAAGTTGGCAAAAACGAAGTTTCTTGAATGCTTTAATTCCATGACTAATTTTTTTGCTTCAAGCTACAAACTTTTTCTCCGTTATCACTTTTATCTAATTATGGACATTCACATTTTCCTTCATTCTATGCAGATATACCAAGCAGATGCTGTTAAATTAATGCAACGGAAAAAAGGACTGACGGTACCAAACTGCGCTCGTAAGATCTCTTTGGTAGCTTTAACGATACTTTGAGACCTGAGAAAAATTTTCAAACTAGTAAATGAACTGTCTGGTGAAAATCTGAAAAACGGCTTTTCTGAAAAAACTTTGAAGAGGTACAAGCCTCTTTTACGAAGGTTAACACCTGGAAAAAATATGAAAATTCTGGCATAACATTGAGAGAAATTTTGGTCATCTTTGCAATTACGAAGTTTTACTATTATAACCAATATTTCAATATAGCCATGTTGCGTTACTAAGCTGCTTTGGCTTTCGAGTTTTTAGTCGTTTTTTCTCGATAGACAATCCTTGAAGTGAAGTGTAGAAATTCAGAATGAGATTCTTTTCAAAGAATTTCAGTGGAGCCAAGCTCGTTGCGTCCAAAAATTGAGTGATGATTTGAAGATCTGTTGAAGTTAGTTAACAATTTTCTGTTCAGTGCTTTTTGAGCCAATTTGTAGATAGCATGAAATTTTTATATTTTAATAGGTCATGTTTTCCATTCTTGTTGAAATATTTTTGAGAAAACAAACTCGGCTTCTTAATAGAACAGAATATCAAGAGTGAAAACGTTTTGTTGTCGAAAACTTTTGGGCTAGCGAACTAGAACCAATTTTTCAGCCTTGCTGATCGACTAAATGAAATTTATGTTTTTAGCCATTCAAAGTTGATCTTTTGCGGAGTTCAATTTTAAGGAGCAATTCAAACTTATATTTGTTTTTTAATTCTCAGAAATATGCTGACAGATCAGTTTACTTAGCGAAAAAAAATACTGAGAAAAAAGTGTGTTTCTCGTCTTCGTTAGTGTAAAAAAAAGTTTTGAAAGAACCGCAAGTTTTAAGTAAAATTCATGTATATCGTTCAATTTTTAAGCGCAGCGAAATTGATTGAAAAACTGAGTTTTTTCATATTACTTATCTTTTTGACATTAACCGTATACTGTTTTTTAAGCTGTCTGTGCGATGCGACGAGTTTTTTTTTCTATTAGTATCACAACCTGCAATTATATTTAATTTTTAAAAACGAATGCCTTTTAATGCCTGTGGTATTAATTGAACTTTTATTTTTGAGTTTTTGAGTTTCATGATTATTTGTTGATAAACTTCAACCTAAAAGTAAAATTTTGCACCGTAAAGACTGCTAGCAAAGAGCAGAGTACGACAATTTTCGCATGAAAGTAAAATGAAACAAAGTTTTGAACTTTTTTTAAAAAACTTTCTACTTGCTCGTTCTGAAACAATTTTTTAAACAACTTTCTAAACAATTTGTTTAACAATTTTGCTAACAATTGTTGTCAATTCCACGACTTGATTTTAGAACCTTATAATTTTTTAGCGCGATTTTTCCAACCAGGCAAAGTAAAAGTCAATCAATTGTCTGACAAAAATCAAGTCATGGTTTAAAACTTCAAATATGGGTGCTAATTTGTTGCAATAAAACATCAAGTTTCAAGGTAAACTTCATCTTCAAATATACTTTAGTTTCGCTAGACTTATAATCTATATTGTTTTTAGACATAAACTTTATTATATAAACTTAAGTTCTTTTAGTTACCCTCTCTCTTCTGTTTATCTGGTATGGTAATTAGATAAATCTTAACCAATTTCAACTCCTGGTTTCAGTACTTAAATTTACGAGTTTCTACTGACGTTAAAGACCTTATGAATTTTTTATGAATATCTATTATGAATATCGCAGTTTTATGAATATATAATTTGACTCAGCTCTTCTACTACTGGGCTAAAAAGATTAGCCGTTTATAAATGTCTCTTTATTCGTACATTGAACTGGTCGTCTACTCTAATATTTTTTAACTCAAGTTGCTTGAAATGAATTCAATTGATTAGTAAGCAAGGTGGGTCTTTAGATGGAGTTTTACTTTATTCCCTTGAAGATTTTGACTCTTTGAACTCAAAGGTAAAACTATGCTAAATAACCAGCTAGTAGTTATCATACAACTTTTGGGCTTTCAAAATTGACAATTTGTCAATTTTTATAACTAATTTTCAACTGATAATGAAATGCAACTAAAATTTGAGAATTTGTTTAAAGTGCAGTGCGCTGAAATTGTTTTTTTTTCTGTATTGAACTTAGGCATGGAAGGCGGAAAATAATTTGCAATAGGAGGAAAACAATTGAAAGAGGGGACAATAGCCACGCCTAATTTTTTTGTTTGCGGTATCACCCTTTGTTGACTTTTGAGATGAGAGATATTTGCAAATTTCAGCATGAGCTGATGAAAAAAATATCGAATTGTACCAGAATGTTGTGGACAGCATGCTCTTCAATCTTCACATTGTTTTTCAACTGATAGTTTCTGCAATGAAAACTTGAAATATCGACACTTTAGCAATCCGTCAGTTCAGTTGCCAGAAATTGGACTTTCATTGCAAGCCCTGAGTTTCGCTACCCTTAGCAAATATTCTCGCAGATGAAATCACCTATTTCAATCTACCTTATGCCTTTTCTCTGTCGAGTAAAGCTAATAGAGCAAATACGGTGGCCTTAAAAAGTTCCATTCGACGTACCAAAATAATTGAATCTGTAAAATATGTAATTTTGTAATAATCGCTGCAAACCTGTTGAGCCTGAGTCTAGTTGCTATCGGGTGAGTCTAGTTGCGTGAAAAGGTCATCGATGATTGGCAAAACTGCAGAATTCTTCTAGATTGCTGATAGCTTCTTGATTGCCTAAAATATATCAAAGCGGATAATCAGGGAGCGTAGAAAGAAATACCATTTTAAAAAATTGTTTTTTTTTGTTATAAATAGAGTACCGGCCGGGTTTCTCAACAACTACGAGAAAATATCCTCAACTGCTTGTTTACTGAATCGTTCACCAATTAAAAGGTTAGAAGCTTTTTTAAGAAGATTTTATCTAGCTGAGGTAGTTTTGTGAAACTACTCAAAAGTTAACATTTCTGCTTTTATCAAAGTTTAATCGTAATGGGAGCTTCAGTCTGCTTTCCTTTGAAATCAGTTAAAATCAAAAGATAAATGATCGTGATGAACATTTTGTAGGCTGGAGTTATATAACAGCAAATAACTACCAGATGTTTAAAAAATGAAGGACCATTGATTTCATTTCAAACGATGCAAATATTATTTCTAATATCTGTGGTTTTGTGAGTTGTCCTTTTTTTTGTCAGCAGACAATATAGCCTATTTCAATCTACCTTATGCCTTTTCTCTGTCGAATAAAGCTAATAGAGCAAATACGGTGGCCTTAAAAAGTTCCATTCGACCTACCAAAATAATTGATACTGTAAAATATGTAATTTTGTAATAATCGCTGCAAACCTGTTGAGCCTGAGTCTAGTAGCTATCGGGTTAGTCTAGTTGCGTGAAAAGGTCATCGATGATTGGCAAAACTGCAGAATTCTTCTAGATTGCTGATAGCTTCTTGATTGCCTAAAATATATCAAAGCGGATAATCAGGGAGCGTAGAAATAAATACCATTTTAAAAAATTGTTTTTTTTTTTGTTATAAATTAGGTTAAAAAAGTTTGCAAAAACATTTTTTTTTGTTATTTTGCCCTAAAAACGGCAACTGTTTAAAAAATGAATAATAAACTGTATCATAAAACATATGCCAAATCTCGTTCATGCGCGGATAAAGTCCTCAAAATTTGAAATATTTCTGCATTTTGATGCAAAAACGCGTAATTGTCTGGCAATACATCTGAAAAACGTGCAAAATTGTTGGT